TTGTTCAAACATGCAGGCTGATGGGCGATGGACACACATGCAAAGACATCAACGAATGCGACCAGGATCCGCCGATCTGCAGCCAACTTTGCCAGAATACTGAAGGAGGTTTCACTTGCGACTGTTACGAAGGATTCAGCCTGAGGTATGCAGCTAAACCCCCCAGCTCCTGTGATGTAGACTTGGGTGTTTCAGAGGAGACAAGCAATCCTGCAAATCCACTGGGAAACCCATGGCCCTGATCTACACCATCGACAACCAGATTCGCGAGATTGCCCAGAAGGAGAACTCCCTAAAGGTGCTGTACGCTGAAGAAATGCCCAAAATAACCGGACTGGATGTCTCAAACAAGAACAACTATGTGGTGTTTGCGGTGGAGAATTCGCCGACGATCCAGCGAATCGACCTGCAGAGCATGAGGCGCGATTATATTGAGCATATCGGCTATCCGAGGGAAATCGCCTATGATTGGGCTACAGGTAATGGCTTTGAAGGGGGAAAAGGAGTCGTTATTAATGCAAACTCCCACCGTTGTAGACAACATCTACTACTACAGCGAAGAAGCTGATGGCAAATCAATCAACTTATGCAGCTTCTCCGATATGGCCTGCGCAAAATTAATCGACGTGGACGTTCATCGGCATGTGTCCGAGTTAGTGGTGGACTCAGTGAATCGCGTAATGTTCTACTCAGTGACCTCTTGGTGGGTGTTCAATTCGCCCACCTACGTGCTCTACAAAGCGGATCTAGATGGAACCGCCATCACCGAACTGGTCAAGAGCTCCAATGGTAAAGCCCCATCAAGCCCTAGAATTTCACTTAATTAACGTTTCCTGCAGGATTTATCTCCGGGTTAACGTACGATATGAACAAGAACCTCGTCTACTACGCGGATCAACATCAAGGGGAAATCATCCGCATCACTTACGAGGGCAAACAGCAAACTGCTCTCTTCACCAATCTAACTCATCCGTTCAGTCTGCGATTTTTTGAGGACCATCTGTACTTTTCCTCGAGCAATGGATTTATCTCCAAATGTCAATTGGTGAGTTGCTTGGGTTTTCGCTGGTTTGGGGAAATTTTTCATTTTT